AGAGATTACAATATATATATATATATATATATATATATATTCAGAATATTTATTCAAGTTTCATGGCGATTCTTGCAGTTATTTTATTTCGATAAAGGTTTAGGTTTTTTTTTAAAATTTAATAAGCATTGCAAAACTGATAGTTGAATGCAATGATTGCACTGCTTTATTGACAAAAATTAAAAATATATATATTTTTAAATTTCATGTATATCATAAATCATTTATAGAACTAATAGTTTCTCCACTCAAGAATATGCTTTTAGCCTAAATTTTTAAATTGACCACATTCGCTATCACTCGTGCTATGCAACTGATGACATCACACAATATATCATACCCTATTTTAACAAATTTTATGACAAAGTCCATCAAGAAAGTTTCTTTATTTATTAAAGTTTTGAATGCATTTTTTAAAATCAAAGATCTTGATATGGATATTGATTTGATGATGATTGATAAAATTTTTCCTTCACGGGAGTTGGGAGATCTGCGATGGTAGCACAATAATTTAGCGTTTTAGTTCAGAACGAAGTTGAACGCACAGAGAGATTAACGAGAAGTAAGAAGATGGAGTGACCTTGATTTTTTATGTGAAAATCTCTAGAAAGAGGGAAAAATCACGGAGCTTGACCCAATTGAAATAATCTACTATATAATTATGACTACATGGGCTCACTCTTCTTTAGCATTAGGAAAGATAGAGTTACAAAGTTGATAGACAATAGTAGTTCAATAATAATAGTTATAACAGGCTACTAAGGCTATAGTCGATGACTATGAAGACAGTAGCCCGTCATGAATTATGTAGACGGTAGTTGTTTCACTAACTTTTCGTAAAGGTTATAGTTGTCTACCTTGACAAAATTTGGCTATGTAGGCCATAGATGGTTGCTTCAGAAGCGTCAGTTGGTCATAAATATAGTAGGAGTTGTAAGAGCCATGAGCCATGCAGACCGTGGTTGTTCATGTAAGCCATTGTGGTAAATTTTGAATACTTCTGTAGACCGCAGAAGCCATTGTTGGGAGTCGCATGACCTTGGACCATGTAGGCTATAGTTGTTTACATATGCCGTAATAGTGAGTTGCAATGATGTCCGTAAGCCACAAGGATTGGATTCATGAGCTAAACGAGCTGTGAGCCATGCAGACCATAATTGGTCACATACGTCATTATAATAAGTTATGATGACGTTCATACGCTGTAGGAGCCAGAGTTAAGATTTGCATGACCTGCAAGCCACATAGACCATAATTGGTCATGTTGGCCATAATGGTGGGATGAGATGCATCCATAGGACATAGAGCATCAAAGTTGGAATCTAGAATGCCTTTGAGCCACGTAGGTCGTAATTCTTCATGCAGGCTATTGTGGTGAGCTAGAATGATAATTGTAAGCTATAAAGGCCAAAGTCAGAAGTTACGTGAGCTGTGGGCATGTTTGCCATAGTGATTAGTTATGATTGCATTCGTAGGTTGCAAGGGCCAGAGTCAGAAGCTGCATGAGCTATGAGCCACGTAGGCCATAGTTGGTCACATATAGCGTAATGGTGAGTTACAATGATATCTATAGGCCCTGTGGGCTAGAATCAAGAAATGCACAAGCCATAAACCACATAGGTCGTACTTGGTCGCAAAGCTCAAGAAGGAGAGTTACAATGTACTTTAGGTGCATTATTACACCATCTTCGGGGGGTGGCAAGGGCCAGATTCAGAAGCTGTATGAGCTATGAGCCACGTAGGCCATAGTTGGTCATATATAGCGTAATGGTGAGTTATAATTATATCTATAGGCCCTGTGGGCTAGAATCAAGAAATGCACAAGCCATAAACCACATAGGTTGTACTTGGTCGCAAAGCTCAATAAGGAGAGTTACAATGTACTTTAGGTGCATTATAACACCATCTTTGGGGTACACCACTGCATCATCTTTTAGGTGGCACCATTATATGATCTTTGGAGGCATTGCTTTACGATCTTTGAGGTTCGTCACTACATTGTCGGGTACTTTATTACTTTACAACATATGACAAGATTTTGTGGTGCATGTTGTGATTCCGTAGAGATTTTTGTTGCAAGGAGCAAGCAATGATCGATGGTGATTGATAAGTGTTAATTGAAGGTGGTTGACGACTGGTGGTCCACAATGATTGACAACTGCAACAACGAGAAGTGTTCACCAGATCTTCAACACAAAAATGACACTTGACTTCATTTCCTTCCTCTCACAGTCCTTCTTCGGGCTGGGGTCTCGATCCACTTCCTCTCTTATATAAAAGATAGGGTTTTGTTTCTAGAGTATGGTAGAGGCCTCCTTCCAAATAAGAAAGAAATCCAGACCAATCTATCAAACAGTTCAGAGATATTGTCTCAATAAACAATATTTTGTGGACTTGAGTGCCTTAATGTTGTGAAAATTGAGTGATCTTAGCCTCGTTGGATTTGTCTTGTCAAGACACTCAATTTGATCATAAGATTTATAGATTTGGAATATGTTTGATCATCCAATTGGGCAATAAAGCTTCTAAGAAAGATTTAATAGATTGATCTATGTTTGTTTTGATTATGATTGGGTCACAATA